GTGTTTGTTGGCTCCACTGACTAGAGACAACTGTGTACTATATTACCCAGTTGATCCCCTCAGCATGGCATAGTCTAATGGTTTGAAATGACCAAAGGTCCATCTTGTGTCTAGCAGTTGTGATTCTTTCTCTTTATTTGTGTGATTACAGGATTAAAGACAACTACTCCAGGACCAAGCCTTTCACAAGGCTTGTCAGTCAATGAAAAACTGATGCGAAGTGTCCCAGTGAATACGACAACATACGTAGCTGACACAGAATCAGAGCAAGCAGACACATGGTAAAGCTTCTTTGTTAACAAACTATTGTTATTATTCTATCAACAAATTAATAGTATATTCAAGAAGTAAAGTCAATGCCTTTATCCAGTTGTCTCTTGGGAGATAAAGCATGGGAGAGTGGGATGGCAGAGAAAATGATGTTTTAGGACAGGGTTAGCAAATTTTCTGTAAAAGACCTAAGAGTAAATATTGGCTTTGTGAGCTGTTGGTCTCTGTCCCAGCTACTCAACTCTGCCATTATGTCATAAAAGCAGCTATAGACAACATAAACAGTCACTTAACAACAGGGACACTTTCTGAGAAATGCTTCTTTGGGTACTTTTGTTGTTTGTTTTGTGACCATCAGAGAGTGTACTTACACAAACCTAGTATAGCTTACTACATACCTAGGATATATGGAATAGCCTGTTGTTCCTAGGCTGCCAACCTGTACAGCTTATTACTGTACTGAATACTTTAGGCAGTTATAACACAATGGTAAGTATTTGTGTATCTAAACATGTCTAAACATAAAAAAGGTACAGTAAAACTATGGTATAAAAGGTAGAAAATGGTATACCTGTATAGGGCACTTACCTCGAATGGAGCTTGCAAGGCTAGAAGTTGCTCTAGGTGAGGTCAATGAGTGAGTAGTGAGTGATTGTGAAGGCCTAAGACATTACTGTACACAACTGTAGATTTTATAAACACTGTACACTTAGGCTACACTAAATTTATAAAAATACAATTTTCTTTCTTCAATAATAAATTAATCTTAGTTTACTGTAAC